TAGTAAATCAGTCTGAAAATAAGATCAAAAAGACTTTTTGGCTGATATAAGATTTTAAAACTTGGTTAGTTGGACAGTTTTTGCAGTAAAACAATATTGGACTTCATCCTCGTTTCGATATGATGGGTCATATTTATATTATTACTAATCTGAGCAATCACTTTCTCTGTTATTTCCCATTTTAACCTTTAAAAATAATTCTGCTGTAATTGCACATCTGTGTTTCTTGTCTGCACTGTGACACTTCACAGTTAATCTGTTGCGATTGTAAAAAATAGATACTAATTCCTAATGTCAAATTCTGATAAGTAACTACGTCTCTAAAACAAAACATCTTTTTTATTCTTGCACCTTTATGTTAGATTTTCATTATTAGTAGTCGTATCATTGCTAGTTAGTGGTAATTTCATTTTTTCTGCACTATCTATAGTTTGTAAAGTAACAAGTGAACCTCTGAATTTCCCCTCGGKGGGACAATAAAGACTATTTCTTTTTGATTCTATCAGARGATGAACGTCATCCTCACCAGTGTGCATCAGCACGTGTCGCTTCAAACCACGTTTATGTGAGGTGACGTAGCTYCACTGGGCGCAGCGGTGGATCTTCTCGTTGGCGTGTAAGAGCTCGACGTGCCGCTCGAACTCCACGGGGTTGAACGTGACGAAGGGGCAGAAGTCGCAGCGAAGCCGTGCYTCCCCCGGGTGGCCGAGGCGCCGGTGCTGCTGGAACGCCGATTTGTTGGAGCAGTGGAAGTCGCAGTCCGGGCAGTGGTAGGCCAGGTGCGTCCGATGATGAGCCCGCATCTCCGCCTCGCACCGAAACACGGCTCCGCAGGCGTGGTGGCGACACGCTACCGCTTTCATCCCGTGCTCCTTGCGGACGTGTTTCAGAAAGGCTTTCCGCTCGGAGCTCCGGAACGAACAACCCTGCTGGAAACACGCCAGCGGCGTGTCGTCCAACGGGACGTTGTGTGTTTTCATGTGAGCCTTCAGCGCTCTGCTCTGGAGAAAGCTCTGACTGCAGGTGGGACAAACGAAGCTCCGACTGTCCCCGCCCTCCTCCGCCTCGTCTGGATGCACGCTGGCGATGTGGCGGCGGACTGCGCTCTTCTCCACGGCAGAATACTCACACAAGTGACAGCGGTGGGTCTTCTCACCCGCCTCCCGGAGCTGGTGGAGGCGCAGCTTGCTCCTGCTGGTGAAGAAACGGTCGCAGGTGGGACACTGGAGGGTCGGGTCGGGGAAATGTAAGCGAAGGTGCTCCTGCAGGTGAGAGTGCATCTTGAAGCAGCGGCGACATTTGGGGCAGGTGTGGGTGCGGTAAATGTTCTCTGTTCCCTCAGCAACGTACCCTAATGTACAAGAATAATTTATTTTAGAAGTGTTATGCATAAAAAAACTTTTTAAGAGGGTAAAATATTCCTCAAGAAAACCGTGTATCTTATAAAAACAGTAATAACTAGACAAGGGGTTTTACGATGTAAAAACAAGTGTGCATTGCCATGTAGCATGTCATTGCAGCAATATTTCAAAAACTACAAGTTGTACAGGTACCAAAAGGCATAGCAATCATTTGGCACAGCACCTTTACAGATAGAAATTAAAATGGCAGCTGTAGGACAATGTAGGCAGGAGCACTGGACTTTCAGAATAAACTTTGACCAAGTTCAAATGTGTTTCCTATACCAGCTTGTGCCTGTCACGTCAGCAGGTGTTTGGAATTAAGGTAATTGTGTGACAATATGAAGTTTGAAGAGATGTTTGTTAAAGTTGCAGTAGCTGGATTTGAAACCTGATCTCTCGCATGAAAGCCCACAGTGCTCATCATGAGACTATAGGAGATGTGGCAGAGGACAATCAGAGGGATTGGATCGTATGTATACAGAAAACGTTTACCTTGACAATGCAATTATTGACACTTAAGTGCAATATATTACAGCATTAGGACAACATAAAGACAGTATTACAGTAAAAC